GAGTTATAGGCAGCCGACGTCACAGTATGCGCCGAACTTGCGCCTGTGTCAAAAGTGCGACCTATGTTACTATGGTGACAATGGATACATGGAAGGCTTGAGCTTCTCGTTACACTGCCACCTACAGGTTTGGCATGCTCTTGTGTATATATACACGGGTAAGTGTAAATGAAGATCTTTTTGAAAACGGAGACCATGAAATGTCCGTTTATGAAAATAGCCGGCCACGTGTAAACGGCCTCTTGGTCTTGTCTGCTCCATCCTTGTTGTCAGCCAATCCCTGTTTCCCTCCTTTTGCCCATGTCTACCTACCCCAGCTATGTCTCGTCCTTGCGATTAGTTTTCTGTGTATATATACCTGTGTGTTTCCCTTTGTCCTTTGTCAGTTCATCTGTTGTTCGTCCTGGGTTCAGTTCTATCTGTGTTCCTCTGCCGTTCATCGTGTTATTCCTGGTTGGTTTTCAGTTTTTTTTTTTTTTGTTCTGCTTTCTTTGGACTTTGAGTTGCCTCGCAGTTCTGGATGTTTCCCATTGGCTATATTAAAGCTTGTTTTTTGTTAAAACCTCAGACTGTCTGTTGATCTGCATTTGGGTCCTCCTCTGAACAGAAACATAACAAAGAAGACAGTGCTTATAACAGTCAGAACTTAACTTAAATTCCCAGAATATCACCAACCAACACACCAGGGTACCTTGGTTATGTGGACGTGGAAAGTCTATGACCAAAACGTCAATATGTGACAAGGTCGGTGTGAGAATGTGTTGGATGCACCCAGGCTACCCTAGACATCACATGTAGACATGGAGAGTCCACGACCAAGCGGCGATATGTGACGAGGTTGGAGTGAGAATGTTGTTGTTGCTAAAACCCACTCTTCTTCACATCCTGATCCTCAGCACCCTCTTCATCTCATCAACCCCACTACCAGCATTTAAACTCCAGAGGGGTTCCCTATCTTACTACGACTTCACCACCCTCCTTAAATATATGACATCATGATGGGGTCTAATGGTGCGTTCCATATAGATCTTACCGCTAGTAAGAAAGGAAAGACAGGAAGCTGCGCAAAATAACTCAGCGACCCGACATGACACGCCTCTTTGAGGCGGTTCTACCAGTAGCAGTGAACTCAGAGGACTACAAGCTACGAAAGACTGATGAAAGCAAAGAGGGCTGTGCCCTAAATTTACCATAAGTGGCTCTGCTCTTTATTATTTTTACTGTTTAGCAAATCTGAATCTTCATTTTAATTACTCGTACACATTATAATGCCCTTATGGGAATGCTTTATGATGTGTTGTTGAGTTGGGAATGTTGTGTATGTGTTGTTTATCCGTTAGTGTTGGTGAAAGTAGCTAGCAGTGTGGCTAATAATAAAGGCTCCGCTACTGAAATAGCGACGACTGCTTTCTTGGAGGCATCCATCTTTGTTTACGTTTAGGTCATAAATAGTACAAACGGGGACGCATATCGCCAATTTAAACAGGAAGTAACAACATTTTACAACATCATCTTGAGTCTCACCGCTCGTAGCAACGTAAATGGACCACAACATAATCACCAAAAAACTATTCACATTACTCATACATACTCATCAGAATGAGTCTCTCCTGATTAAGATACAGTATGTAATGTGGTGCTATTTTGTACTATTATAAACAGGGACATTATTGTGTTGCAAGTGTGCCTAAATGGGGCATATACTGTATATGAGTGGCACACACAGTATAGTCAGTTGTGCCAGTGTGTTTGCAAATACTGAATGCACAAAAGTATCAGTGTATAACAGTTGTGTCTTCACTTTTGGCAAGGACTACAGGCACAGTATCTGTGGCCCCCAAGCTAGACAAGTCCTGAGAAACTTTCTACAAAATGAAAACACGAGTGGGGATACAATTATTTAATTGTGCGGCTCTTCTAGACTTTCAAAATTATCCCGGTGGTACAAGAAGTCATTCCTTGTGGCTTGTGACACTTTAAAAAAAACATGCATTCAATGATTTAATGACATCTTTTTCACAATTTATGAGAAAGAGTATTTTTTGGTCCCATGTTATCACGTGACGGGCTTGGAAGTTGTGGTTACACTTCTTGTAGAATTGGCCTCCAGTCCAGCGATGTTCCTGGGGATGAGGCCAGAAAAGTTCATTTCACCATCACCATCTCTTCTTGGTGAACGCGAAACACTTTCCTTTAGTAATATCTAAATGCTTGCTAATGTTCAACATGCAAGACTTTTTTTCTCTAAGCGTATATTGTACTATGGGACACCCTGAGGGATGAACATGCCACCACTCACAACAAGTAAATCTTACTTGCTCACACAGTGAAGATGTCAAACCTGTCTTGTGATTACCCATAATGTGACTGGCCTTTTTGACACTTTCGGCATCTCTTTTGTAACCATGAGGGTGTTTACGTCTACATTTCCCAAAGACCTATAACTCTCTGCTGACGTGTGTGAAATCTACCCTGGGGACTCTGTCTGTTTTTTCCACACAAGTTGTATTCACTGTATCACACAGCCACAGACTGAACTGAAGCACCTCTGACAGCACTGACTGACAGGGATGCACATTTTCCTTATAATGAAAGTGATTAAGCAGTGTGTTGTGTCAAGAGTGTAATTTGAATTTCATAATTTGGGGAACTGACTGCATTATAATTACTTGTAGAAAGTTATGTATAATTAATGAGGTGCCAAACTGGAAAAGTTTACAAAATGTAGCTTTGGAGTTGGCATGTCATCTCTCCAAGAGTTTACATGAGGATCGCCTCAAACTCCAACTGCTGCTTACATCTTACAGGACCTTTACTTGTAGCATTTTATGATCCAGTAAACCACTGCCTCAAACAAAACCTGTGCAGACTGAATCTTAACACAAGGTTTTTCCATAACAGTCACATTTTATTTCGCCAGCACAGACGCTTTTATTCTCTGCCTGCAGAGACACGCGCTTGATCTTGCAATAAGAAGGCATCAGGCTCAGTAAAGTGTAGCCTCTGTTTCAGGATATTGAATTCCTCTTCCGTCAGCAGGGATATTTTTCCCCGGTAGAGCTTTTCCTCCCTTTTTTGAAGAATGAATGAAATTGCAATACGTTACAATACACGCAGATATTTACTACTGGAGCACATTTGGTATATATGTTATATTTACAAAAATAAACAGAGGTTATTTCGGGAATATAACACAGCACAGCAGGTTTAAATAAGTGGAGCTGCCCTCCATATTGTACTTCAGTGTTCCCTGCACAGGGAGACAAACAATCTGTTTATGTATACACACTTGTGATGGTTTATAGAGGATGCAATTTGTTCGCTGTGTGTCTGAAGCAAGACTGAGTACAGGTGGTATAGCCACACTTTATTTGCAGCATCTGGCCACAAAAACACGACCTCAAGCAACTTTAGATTCTGATCTCATTTTTTAAAGCTCATTTTAGTTCATTAACCAAAACTGCATTTTATCATTTACACGATATGGCTAAGGGAAGACCTCTACTGAAGCAGAGAGATGCTGAGAAATTTGTTCATGCTTATGTTTCCAGTCGTCCTGACTATCATAACACCCCATATACTGGCCTATCTAAAACTGCCAATACAAAATTACAGACCATTAAAAACGCTGCTGCCAGGGTTGTAACAGAAACTAAAAAAGAGACCATACACCTGGTATCTTTTAGGATTGATTTTAAAATCCTTCTACTGGTTTTTAAGGCTCTTATGGCACCGTCCCCTCCTATATCACAGACTCCCTACAGCTGCTCTTTCACTACAAAAACCTTTGGGGATGCTTCCTTTCGTTACTATGCCCCAAAAATATGGAAAACCCTGCCTTTAAGTGTTAGACTTGCCGGTCCAGTAGACAATTGAAAACTCAGAACATATCTTTTTAATATAGCCTTTAACTAGCAGCTATCTGTTTTAATAGTATTCTTTTAATTACTTGTTTAATTTTTTTGTGTTGTATAATGGTTTTATTTCTTTGCTGTTTGTCTCTGCTGCTGAATTGTAAAGCATTTTGTGCATGAAAGGTGCTATATAAGTAAAGTTCATTCATTCAGTCATTCATTCATTCATTCATTCATGTCCTTTTCATCCTCTTTTGGTCTGCAAATAACAAGACTGTGCATCACAGCCATCGTCCTGTTCAGGAGACAGACACAGTCAGGTTACTCTGCTCAGTCTCAGCTGGTCAAACCTCCACTATGTCCCCTCCCCTGTGATCACCCTTTGTTTATCAGACCGTGTCAGCGATCATTCTAAATCTGGAAATGCATCTTTTTCTCTCCATTTTGTCATGTCATTCTCACTACGCCGACATTTTTCACTTCTGAAAATGAACAACAATTTGCACAGAAACCAAACAGTGCTCCTTTAGTGGAACACTACCTGCCAAATGACTTCTGTGTGTGAGTTAATAAAAGATAATTTGATGAAATGTAACTTAATTCAGGCAACTGGAATTTCTGAATTTAGAAAAACAAACCAAGAAGTTAGAATTAGATTTTGACACAGTGCCACAGGACTACATAACCATGCTGAACCCACTCGGTGTTGCACTTTAGCTAATGAAGCAAATTCTCTCACAAATTTGAAAGTAATGAGATTAACAAAAAGCAGCTACCACACAGTGAGCCTGTTTTGGGCCCCTGTGGAAATCCGGGGGTCAGGGGCACTTTGGTTTATTATTATTTAAGAATGCACAAAGTGTAGTTCTTTATATAGCACCAGTAATGCAGAATTTATAATCAAAAATTATGAAGTGTCAAATATTAACACGTTGTTTTTGTTTTTCACCGTTTGCAAAAGTCTCTATTGGACACATGAAGGCGCCATTTCCATGCGCATGAAAGGAGAAGCGCTCTGTTTTAATGACGCTCAGAAAGAGACCTGACAAGTTGTTAATGGCTGCTGTTGCAAATCATACGATTAAAATAAGCATCAGTATCCTGGGCACAGCTCTCAACAACTCCACACTCAGTCGGACCTTAGTGCTGTTATTATTTAATGAGACTGGTGCAGAGAAGAGGGTCAGGACGCAAAGATCGCAGACCATGTATAGTTTGGAAAACAGTTTACAATAGCTGATTTTTAACAAGCTGCCTGCAGACAGATTTAAAAACACATGCAATCGTAATTAATGCCCTAAAAAAGCCAGCGCAGGACTCCCCGTCGCCCTGTTTGAGCCTCGCATCCTGAGCATTTCCATTACGCACTCCTGTGCGCTCACATGCCTTCTGGACGAGCCCTCCTGGCATTATGGAGCAGCGCGCAGGAAGAGCCTTGGTGACTCATGAGGACCACACTGAGGACGGCAATGAAACACGAGCTTCTGGCATCTTTATCACCTTTGGAAATTAACTTCTTAGGTTACATAAATCTATTAATAATCTAATTATCATGGCAAGGATCGCGTCTTCCTCCCACTACTCCACAGGCGGAGCAGGAGTATCAAAAAGTTCAAGACTCCCTCCAGTGAAGTCCTTTTAAATTTCTTCTAGTCTGTAGATATTTTTTCCCCCAACATTGGAGCATTCCCACCATGGCCGCTGCACCCTGAGGGGAGATGGATTTAGAGGTGAAGGATGAGAACGGGTCGAGCTGTTTGTCCCGCAACGAGAGTGACCGCGGACTGAGCGCTTCCTCCGCCGGAGTGTCCACTGCGCTGGCCAGCGTGCTGATCTTCACCATCGTGGTAGACATCCTGGGCAATGTCCTCGTCATCCTGTCCGTGTACAGGAACAAAAAGCTCAGGAATGCAGGTGAGATGAGGAGACGATGAAGGTTTTGCCATAAAGCCAAATAAATGTGCTGATGGAAACAGCAGCTTAAATGGTCAAGATATAAGAGACGTGTCTGCGTAACAAATTCTGTCAAAATTGATGTGAAAGAATTTGTTTAATTGTGTCATAAAATCGGTTTCAGAGCTGAGTGTCTCATCAATTACATCTCATCAAAGCCGAAAGGAAAGATGTCTGTCTCCATACAGTTTTTGAGATGCCCTGCTTCCCTCTCTTCATTCATAACTATAATTATGTAATATAGTGTAGCGTGTGACCTCTGTGCTTAACAATCAGGCTACTATCTTATGCGAGCCTCCAGTCTCAGTGTGTTGGAGTTTCCACAGCTTTGCCTGCCTGCCCTCATATTTCTTCATAAATAATAACATCCCTTTCCCCCCAACTGGCTTTATCCTTGGTTCTTCATCCCAGATAAATCACATTACATCAGGACCGGTAGTGTCCCATGAGCAGCCAAGGTGAGAGGTGCCTTTGTGTGGCTTCAGTGCCCTTTTGTGCAGGTTTTATGTTGAACACAACCTCGTATTTTGTTGTGTTGACATTTGGAAGTGTCCAGGCAGCAGTGTGAAGGTGAAGAAGATATTTATTATGGTCACTTTAGTGCCATTTTTCTTACTTAGCAAATGTGCCATCATCATTCAGCTGGCTCCTTTACACTGAGGCATGTAGGTGTCTCAAATAGCCTCTAAGTCAGGTCAAGCCATTTCCAGTTCATTTGGGAATTAGTACGTCAGTTATTTCTTTAAGTCTGGCTCTACAAACTAAGGGAGTGTGTGAAAGTGTAAGGTATGGAGGGGGTCAGAAAAGTTGGAAGGCATTGTACATTTTCTTTTGGCTAAAGGACGGAGAGAAGGATTTTCTGATCTATTTCTAACCCCAGATTTATATGTTATTTCAGCCTTTGCTTCCAATGTACTTTGGCCCTGTCTACACAAATAGATATTTTTGAATACTGATTCTTTTCCCCTCCATAAAAAAAAAAAATCTGTCCACTCAACTTTGGTTTTCAAAACATCGACTGGAGGTCTCATCACTGCTGATTCCACTTCAGTTCAAGGATGCACATGCTTTCCTTCCTATTCTCATCGACAACAATCCCACTCTGCAGCGTCCGAATTTGCTGGTCTGACCGGGTCTGATCCAAATCTGCCAGACTTTACACCCCTGACACTGAGGGGAAACAAAAACACTGGGTGCAGCCGATGCCTTTGTTTGTCTGTGAAGTGTTAAGCAGTCATTAGACCTCACAGTGCTAACAAAAGCATCAGCTATAGTTGTTATTTCTCGCATAAGCTCATCACACAAAGCTACAAAAGGCATGCACCAACTGAGAAGATTACATCATCATTTCTCTATCGCTCTGTTTTACACGTCAACACAGATTAACAGTGACCACAGTTTTGAAAAATCTGCACTTTTTAACTTTTATAAAATCTTTGTTTTGGTGACAAGTGGACAAGAGGTCAAAACAAGCAGGAAAATATCAGTTTAGAAAAAGATCTGTGCACGTGTAGACGAGGCCGTAGTTACACAAATAGTTGTAGTGTAGATTTCAGGGGGCACGCAGGGGACATATCCCTCTCAATATTTAGAACACGTGCGTTTGTCCCCTCACCCAATAAAAACATAAAAGTAGCAGAGGACTTTTATTTTGAAAAATATAAGACTTTTACACCATAAAATTGTGCAGACAATTGGTGCATAAAAAATCATCAGAATTTGAAGTGTTTGATGCTCAAAATTTTCTTGCCGTTGTTTCATATGCGTTCCCCCAGTGATGAAATGAAACTTACACCCATGCAAATAGTTATATAAAAAAGACAGCTTTCATGTGTGAAACAGAAGAATATCAAGGTTTTATTTTTGTCATCATATTCGACTAGCAGGTGATGTGACGTAGCTAAGTCCCTGAGCCACTATCTCAGTTTTCAGGAAACACTGAATACACTCTGTTTTGGTATATAGCCAGCACGGTGGTGCAGTGGTTAGCATTGTCACCTCACAGCAAGAGGGTTTGCTTTGAGCCCAGGGTGGTGGAGCCCTTCTGTGCAGAGTCTGCATGTTCTCCCTGTGTCAGCGTGGCTTTTCTCCGCGTGCTCCGTCTTCCTCCCACAGTCCAAAGACATGATGGTGCGGTAATTGGTGACTAAACTGCCCACAGGTGTGATTGGAAGCATGAATAGTTGCCTGTCTCTGTCAGTCCTGTGATTGTCCGGGAACCTGTCCAGGGTGTACCCTGCCTCTTGCCCAGTGTCAGCTGGGAAAAGCTCCAGCACCCCCTTGACCCCCAACAGCATAAGCAGTCACAGAAAAATAAAAGCAATACCACGTTTTTCCTTTCACAAGCAATAAAATGCTGGCTCAGTTCATCACACTCAGATAATTTGCTGCTTCAGTCTTATTTGTCCTGGAATGACTGGTGGCTTTTTTTGGCACCTGCAAGCAAATATTAGTGAACTTGAAGTACTGAGTCAAGTCAGTAAATGTCTAACTCCTCTCTATTTGCACTTTGTACAGACAAACCTTCCAACAGTTTTATCAAAAGCAAATCGGGCAGTAAACACAGCACGGTGCAAAGTTCCACAGTTTCACTTTAAAAAATGTGATTTGACACCGAGATATTATTCTAGCTGTTAGTGGGGGTGAGGATGTTGCACTTACTTTCTCTGGTCCACTTGCACTTGCTTTCCATGGTTTAAAAAACAGCCCCAGTAATTTTTAGTACAATCCCTAAACGAAGGCACTTGTGTGTGTTAGTGTCCATTTCCACATATAAAAAGCCCAGATAACATCTTTACAGTCTGAGTTTATTGTCTGGCATGAAAAAACTGAGTAGCAATTAAAGAAAAGAACCAAAGAAAAAGTCACAAGACACTCAGACAGCAATTAACATAATATATCGAAGCACTTAAGGGTTTATGACATCAGAAGCAGTCATAAAAAGACAACTCCAATTTTATTCTCCCGTTACAAGAGTGATAGAAAAGCACCTTTTGCTTTAACTGGACAAATTACACAAGCTCACCTCATACAGAGATGTGTCTTCCACAACAAAGAGATGCACAAATAAAATGTCTATTTGATGTTGTGCAGCTTTCATTGTTAAGGTTCGGGAGATCAAGCACCGTGCATCATTATACCCAGCAAATCTTTAGCTGAAAGCAAAGTCAGGAAAGCCTACCGCTGAGGCAAAAGACTAAACTCAGTAATCACAACATGATGCTAATGAGTACATGCGAATCAGGCAGCGGGATTAGGTCAGCGACTGTTTGGAATAATGAGCTTTTAATTACAATTTCAAATACATTACATAACAGATCCAATGTGTTCCTGTGCATACCAGCCTAAAGCGGTTTGGCCAGGAGTTTAGGAGCCCAGGGAATAATTTGATTATCTGGTTTGCAAAAAAATGCCACAGTCGACTGGTCTCAAACAAGAGGGCAGGAGTAAATGGCCTGTTCAAAAGTCTTCGCCATGCTGGCAGACTACGGCCTGTGCGCTGATTACTGGCCTCATGTCACCATTCTCCCACTCTAATTGGACTGACTGACTGGTTCAGTCTCACGAGAGTCCTCACGAGAGTCCTCACCAGTGTCATGGCGTCTTTTTCGGTTTGCATGCGTGAGCAGAAACCTGCAACTCCAGCAGAGCAGTTTTGTTTTTAAGTGTCCTTAGGTGACTGAAATTGTAACTGCTGTTAGCCTATCATCAATCTGCTCCCTGTGCTTAACGAGCTATTTATAGGTTTGGCTCACTTTGTATGAATGTTTAATTGTACAGACTTTCGGAAAGGAAAGCACGGACGCAGCTGAAGAACAGCAAACAGCTGTAGAGAGATGTGTCCGCTATAAAAATCAGTATCTGTGATAGATGGCTGTTTTGTGAAGGTGCAGTATAAACACAATAACACCTCCTGGGCTGCAGACTGACTCATGTGTGAGGTCTAACGTATGATTTACAGTGGGTAAAGACTCAGACGTATATATTTTTGTGGAATTCAGTGTGTCAGGCACACTGCTGCAAACATCCCCTCTCTCCATTACACACTATTCAGACTGCTGGTTTGCTTCCTAACACTCTGCAGCAGGACCTTTCCGCTCTGCTTCACTTCAACAATACTCGCCTTGCCTCCGTATATCCCTCCGCTGCCCACCACTCACCACAAAAACCACATGCATGTGCGCACATTTGGTAGATAGTGGTACATCATCTGAGTGATGTATATTTGTCCCCATTATCTCCGTGTGTGAGGAGAACTGGTGCCATATGTTCAATTTTTGTTTAAAGGTTTACAGGTTCTCTCAAGTGCGTAAATGTAACAGGATCTATCCAGTGACTCTTCAAAGGGTAGAGCATGGCACCATAGGACTGCCAATGGGGTGTTAACACTAGAGTTTCCCACTGGGGTTAACCATACTAAAAATACACTCTGAAAATGCACTCATGAGAAAGGGAGGGAGAGGGACAGAGAACGATGAGCAGATGGAGGAAATAACGAGAGGACAAGCTCGGCTGTGTGTTTGTGCGCAGCTTGCACCTCCGTGGCAGGAGCTGTGGGTTGTGGGGTGTGTAAGGATGGGAGATTGAATTTTGATAAATCATGCACCGCATCCCCTCAGTCAGTCACTCTGCAGTCATGAATAAAACCTAAAACCTGGAGTGTCCAGAGGGGGGTTAATTGAGTCAGTGGACTTAGTGAGTCAAACCAGAAGCCAATTTAAATTGACAGCTCAGATCCACGGGGAATATCACTTAGCACACTACATTAAACATGTCTCCTTTTCCTGACAACAAAACAGTAGATGACATTTAGTTCTGTAATGTGGTCAGCATGGAGGTTGGATGTTATCAGATTAGGATTATTTGACTAAACCAAGCCGAGATAAGGTAAATGCACTGTTATGTTTACATTACATCCGGTATCTCTTTCTAATGCAGGAGGCTGCTTTCTTTCACATTTG